GGGAAGTAAATATCATCACACTGCCTCACACTTCCACCTCCCAATTTTGTTTTCTCAAAAACAATATTTTTTCTAATATTCATTCTACAATCATAATTTCAATAGTTGTTTGAGTTTATTTCTTTATTTAGGGTTGTACTTATCCATAGTACTTATCATAGCATCTCCCATCCTGAGTTTTTATTGTGATTCATTTTTTTTTTTAAAGATTCATTTATTTATTTTGGGGAGAGAGAGAGCGGGGAGGAGTGGGGCAGAGGGAGAATCTTAAGTAGACTTTACGCTGACCTGGGAGCCCTACATGGGGCTTGATCTCATGACCTTGAGATCATGACCTGAGCAGAAACCAAGTGCACCACCTAGGTGCCCCTATTTTAATTCATCTCTTAAATATAGGGATTTCATTAAATATTTTCAGCTGTCCCCAGGAAAGTCTAAGGAGCATTTGATTTCTATAACTTCTTGCCTGCTTGAGGAGATATGTTTTTTAATTTAATTTATTTTTTTTTTACTGAAAGGCCAAATTGCATGAATGTATAATTCTTTTGTTGTTTAATATTGTAGCTATCACTGTTTTCAGGTATTATTTGCTTTAAGAAATACCAGATCACTCTAATTCACCAATCCCCCTTGTAATTTACTGAATATATGCAAAATTCTTTTTCTGTGAAGTTTAATAACTTTATTAGAATATGTCTTAATTGCTAACGGTTTTTTAACATCCACAGTGTGCCATAAGTTGCTGCAGCTTTGAGTTTTATTTCAGTACAGTTTTCTTCAATAATTTTAATTTTTTTTTCTTTTTCATTTTGCTTGTTCTTTTTTTAAGGAAGTCTCTCTGTGTGCTCAAAGTTCTTTGTTTTTCTTCTGTTTCAACCCAGTAGTAAGGTTAACACAGATTTTTGTAACAAGTAAGTTAATCATTCACTAGATTTTGATGCAGAGGTTTTGCCTTCTATACTTTCACTATCCTTTGGGAATTAAAAAACAGCATTCTTTTCTGGAAGCTAATGAGTATTCTGAACTGTGGCCACAGGGCAGAGGTGACTTGGAAAACACACAGAGTTATGGGAAGGTGTCCATCTGTTGATAATATAAATATCAAATTGTTGGCTGCTATCCCTAGAAGGTCCATATGTACCAAAGCCAACATGTAGCTCATAAGCTTCCTCTCTCGGAAGATACATAGTTTCCTCTCTGATAAAAACAAATGATATGATACCAAGAGTACAAGTGACAAGAGAAAAAAATAGATAAATTTACTTGATCAAAATTAAAAATCTTTGTGCTTCAAAGGACATCATCCATGAAGTGAAAAGATAATCTACAGAATGGAAGAAAATATTTGAAATCATATATCAGATATTGTAGATTTTTATATCTAAAATATATACACAACTTTTACAACTCAATAATCAAAAGACAAATAGCCCAGTTAAAAAAATGGGCAAAGGATCTGAATAGATATTTTTCTACAGGAGTTGTACAATTGGCCAGTAAGGACAAGAAAAGATGCTCAGCATCATTGGCCATCAGGGAAATGCAAATCAAAACAACAATGAGAACTTAACTTTATACCTACTAAGATGGTTATGTTGAAAAAGACAGTAACAAGTGTTGATGAGGATGTGGAGAAGGTAGAACTCCTGTATATTACCAGTGGGCTTGTAAAATGGTGCAGCTGCTTTGGAAAACAGTCTGGCAATTTCATTTCTCAAAAGGTTACATATAGATTTACCATATGACCCAGCAGGTCCCCCTCCTTGGTATATACTCAAGAGAAATGGGAACATATGTTCATGCAAAAACTTGTACATGGGTGTTTATGGTAGCAGCTTTATAATATACCCCAAAGAGAAACAACGATATACCTATCAATGGATGAATGGATAAGTGAAATGTGATCTAACCATACAAAGGAATATTACTCAGAAATAAAAAGGTGTTAAATACTGATACAAGCTATAACATAGATGAACCTTGAAAACATTATGCTAAGTAAAAGGAGCCACTCACAAAAGATCTCATATAATATGATGCCATTCATATGAAGTATTCAGAATAGGCAAATCTATAAAACACAAAGTAGTTTAGTGGTTGCCAAGGGCTGGGGGGTGGATGGGATGGAGAGCCACTGCTAATGGGAGAGTGAGTACAGGGTGTTTTGGGGAGGCTGAAAATGTTCTAAAAATAGGTTTGGTGATGGTTGTATAGCTCTGTTAATATACTAAAAACCTTTGAATTGTGTACTTTAAGTAGGTAAACTTTATGCCATGTGAATTATATGACAATAAGTCATAAAAAAAGACAAGTGGGGTGCAGTCTTACTTCCAGGTTTATCTTTGGTCACTCATCATGCTTTCTTATTGTGGACGCTGAGCCATCTCCCTAGCCTGATCTTGCTCCCCAAGGTCACAGCCTCTGCTCACTCTCCCTTGTACCATTTCTGTATCCCCGTTGGTGCTGTTCCCTCTTCTCTTCAACCCAGGTGTTTCATTTCATGGTGGTGGTGAAGAACGGAGCTAAGTGGATAGAGGTGGTTTTATTCTTTCCTTGCTCTCTTTTTAGTTTATAGTCACTACATAATTATATCTTGCTTACCGCCCAAGGCCTTCTCTTTTGATTCCAAAAACCTCTTGTGAAAGTAAAAATCTAAACTTGGACAATTTTTTAATGGTTGTTTCTTGGAATTAAGGCTGTGGGAAATATTTCATAATTCAAAGGAGTTGTAACTTTTGCTGGTAGCTTTGCATGCCTGGATAAAGTATAAACACATTTGAACCAAATTATGTTTTTCAAACCTGCTGGCTTTTGAGAAGTCCACTGGTCTTATTTTTTCTTTTTAAATCCTTTGCTAATAATGAGGATTATTTTTTTTCTCTTGTCCAGAAAAACGTTTCATAAACTAGTTTTAAACCCAATATTCTTATTTTTTTGAAGTCAGTTATTATTTCAAAGATTTTTCTCAACTACTCACATCCTGAGAAAAATCACACTGCTTAGTCTCACAGGAGACATTATTTGTATTACAAAACAAATTTGATCATGTATAACGAGACAGGAAAGTGCGAAGCCTGCCAATGTGCCTTAATGCTGCTCAGGGCTTTCTTTTTCCAGTGAACTCTGTCTGAAAACAAATTAGAATGAAAAGCCGCCTCAGTGAGAATATAGAATCATATCTCATATAAAAGAAAATGTCCAAGCCATTGGAGTATTTCTGACACCCAACATTCTCTTCCAGACCAGAGACATATTAGGCAAATTTATTTCCAACTTCTAAACCTAAAATTTCCCACATTGCCCTTTTCACCTTACTAATTGCAGTCACATTTATATTAACACCCTTCTGTTACTTTTGGAAGAGCATTATTAGAGGCTGAAATTATATATATATATATATATATATATATATATGTATGTATTTTTTAAATAGGTAATACATTTATATAGTTTCAAATTTTAAAACTTATGTAAACAGGAATAGAAGGAATCAAGTGAAAATTCTCTCCTATCTCTGCCTCCACCCTGTTTGCATTTCCATAGGCAATCAGTTTAGCTGGTCTTCTGTTTCTTGCATATTCTTCAAGAAATATCCTATAAATTTGGAAGCAAATATGTTGAGGAATGTATATTTCTTTTTATACAAATGATAGTGACTATATAGTTGTATTGTACATTTTTTCTTTCACTTTATAAGAAGTCTTGAAGATAGTTCCACAATGGGACATCGGGTTCTCCCATTTTTAAAATTTGCGATGTGATCTCTTATGTGGGCATACTATAAGTTTTTGATACAGTGACCTTTCTTGGATATTTAGGTTTCTTTAGAGATTCATCTGAATTCCATGTATGAATAGTTCTTTTTATTACTGAGTAGTATTCCATGGTATAGATGTACCATAGTTTATTTAACCATTCACTCATTGAAAGACATCTGGGTTGTTTCCAGCTTTGAGCTATTACAGATTAACTGCTCTGAACATTTGTGTGCAAGTTTTTTTGTGAACATAAATTTTTATTTTTCTGACATTAATGCCTAACTGTGCAATTGCTGGGTTACATAGTATTTGCATGTTTAGTTTTTTTAGGAAATAGCCAAACTTTCCCAGAGTGGCTGTACCACTTACATTCCCATTAGCAATGTGTGAGTGATTCAGTTTCCCACACCCTCCTAGCCTTTGGTGTTGGAATCTTATTATTTTGGCCATTCTGTCAGGTATTTAAGGAGTCTAATTTTTAAATTATGAAATATTACAAACTTTGTTCAGTAAGAAACATTCAGAAAATTATAGTGGACGTCTGTTTTTCCAACATGGAATGATTCCTCAAAGATAAATCACAAGTGAAAGATTATACTGTACAATTTTTTAAGTTAAATTTAATATTTTTTGGACTCCTTTTATCTACCAATATTTTCTTTTCCATTATTTTTTTACCTTCACAGATTTTTCTTTGAGAGTATTAAGATGGTAGTAAACGTGATTTTTATTTTTGCTATTCAATCTGACAGAATTTATAGTTCTGTGGTTCTACTGGAAGAGACTTCTGACTGATAATACCTCATGAGAGGTACACAAGGCATTTTACTGAGATTAAACTTTAGTCTTCTGATTTTAGAATCCTCACAATTGCAGTATGTTAAAATGTTAATTCTCTAAGATATTGCCAAGAGACAGATGGGATAATTATCTACATATCAAATATAATTGTTTGGAAGCTACAAATTAAATCATGAGCTAAATTTCTTATGCATGTAGCTTAGGTCTAGTGAATTCCCTTGAAGAATTGTAAGTCAACAGCTTTCAAGACCACCATAGCTATATTTAAAATTAGTGTTTTGCCTATATATTTCCTAAATAGTTATATTATCTATTTATAACTTCATGTAAAATATCTCACAGTGTTTTTGCTTTTCACTTTGCTTGAATATTTTCTGCTTTTGTTGTTCCACTAACTTTTTCTCTAAATGACTCTTACCCTCTGATCTCTCTTCCTTCGTTATATTTCTCAGTGAAGTCTCTGCTGACCTCTGTAATACTTCCACAGGGGCCGTGCAAATCTTTTCTGTATTGTTCCAGTTTTCGTGTACGTGCCGCCAAAGTGAGCACTTCTGAGCTCTGGGCCAGGTTATATGCTCCTTCCATAGGTTTCCTTCACTCTTGTTTCATAAACATGTCCTCGCAGTTCCTCCAGCCCTCATCATCTTTTAACAGAACCTTTTACTTCTTGTCCTCATGAGGAGGACCATAGCTTTTTTTCTTCATTGCTGCTTCTCCAGTGCCAACCTTGGCACTTTCCCCGTAGTAGGCACTGAATAAATATATATATTTTTGTTGAATGGTTGAGGGAATGAAACAATGGACTTAACAATACCTCCCAATCTCTAAGTTCCATGGGAATGTTCAGTATTCTTTCTCCACTGAGTTATTTGTTCCTAACTCTTGTTTCTTTGAACAGGTTGATGAACTCAAAAGGGAAATTATGTAAGAAGGGAGTACTGTAGAGAGTTGTCCTGGGTTTGGTTTTCTCTAACCATTTTCAGGTATCTTAGACTGATATTATAGCTCCATCTCCTTCATCTTATATCTTATCTTTTGGCAAATCAGAGTTCTATTAAAATCTATGTCAAATCAGTGTCAAATCGGTGATTTCTGAAGTTTTATATTCATAAGTGCTATCAGATTCCTCTATTTTCTTGTCTTGAAAAGACTTGATGTCATTTCGTGGCTTTGTCTGTGGGAGAGTAATGCATATTTGGGTCAATTCATAGAAAGTAACTGAGAAATTCTAACTAAGCAGAAAGTAAAGTTTAGAAACTATATTCTCTTAATAGATACGTTAGGCAGATTATGGCTTAGTGTAAATGACTTAGTTAAACCATTTAAATCATGATTTTAAAATTATGAATGCTCTTTTATATTTCTTCCTTTTGTAAATTAAACGCATGCACAATTTTTAATTAGACAGAGAAAATGATTTGTTTAAAGTGTTTGATCACCTCATATTTAAAAAATAAACATATTTCTTTAATATTTGAACAAGTAACATTTACATAAATTAATAATCGATAACTATACATGAATGTAGTGAAGAGTCTTTCTCCCCAGTCTTGTCCTCAAGCCAGTTTTCAGCTGTACCTCCAATCAATAAACATTTTTCTTAGTTTCATAATATCATCTCATCTCATAGGAAATGGCTTGTTTAAAACTGCAGAGTGTACTATCAGATAATGAAAGTCAATTTTTATAACCAAAAAGTGAGTCTCTTAAAATTAGTGCTGCTAAAATGTAGCAAAATAGGTCATGGCAGAAGATAGGCTATCTTCCTCACTAGAGCAGAGATCAGCAAATTTTTCCTACGTAAAGCACCAGATAGCAATTATTTTAAGTCCTGGAGGCCATAAAGTCTCTTCTACAACCATTCAACTCTGCTGTTGTAATTTAAAAGTATCCATAGCCAATATGTAGATGAATGAGCACATTTGAGATTGAATAAAACTTTATTTGTGGACATTGAAATTTGTTCTTCATAAAATTTTCACATGTTATGAAATATTATTCTCCTTTAAATTTGTTTCCAGCCATTTAAAAATATAAAATCAATCTTAGTTCGCAAGTTATAAAATAACAAACAGTGGGCAGGATTTGGCTTATTGGCTATTTGCTGACTCCTGATGTGGATCAAGATAATGTGGGTTCTAACACAATTTCATTTCTAATTGATTTTTTCTTATATATTTTTAAAATACTGTTTATTAAGTATCTTAATTTTTTTGTCTTATATGTCCAATTCAATATATTAGGGAAGAAGATGTAACAATTGTTGCATGATGGTTAAGTGCTAGACACTTTTTTTTGGTACATTATCTCATTTAGTCCAGTTACCAACTCTGTGAAGTAGTTATTCTATTTTATAGATAAAGTAATGAGGAAGAAGGGGATTAGTAACATTCTCAAAGTTATATACTTGCTAAGAGGTGGACTGTAGTATTTAACGGAGGCTTATCACTTTCTATGTTTATAGAATTGAACAACTATTTTTCAGCCACATAAATGTGCTGCTTCCACTTAGAGTTCTATGCTCGTGTTTAGGTGTGTCAAGCTTTGTTGTTTTTTATTTGTTGGTTGGTATTCAATGCTGTTATTTTCTCAAAGGTATGAACAGGAAAACTGAATTCATATTTATTTTCATTACATAATTTTCACCTCAGTGATTTTGCTTTACCTAGCTTCCTTTTAAGGGGAACTGGATTGGAAAATAGGCAAATGGAGTTTGAAATACAGAGTAATTTTTTTTTTCAAATATGGTCCCTGTCTTGCAGTTATATATATAATTCAATTTTTAATTTTGCAATTTCAGTTCATTTCCTCTTCAGTCCTCAAATGTTCAGAACATATGATGACACACCAATATTGGGAGATTGTTTTTCACAATGGTTAGAAGAAGAATAAAGTGCTTTTGTATGGGGATTATAAAATAAGTTACATATTCCTTCTCTGGACTTAAAAACAATTAAGAGTGATCCTTTTATTCAGCAACAGTATTGAATTACAGTCACAATGCTGATAGTAAAATTTGCTACCCTTTAAAATAGAATTCAACACAAAAAACACATTTTAATTCACTTTATTATTCTTTACATTTATACATACCTTCATTGATACTGATTTATTTCATAGAGATTATTTCAAAATATGTAAGGATTCATTAAAGTATTTGAACAGGATTGTTAAAGTAAAAGCAAAAACTAAAGAGCATATCATTGTAACTAATATTGCTTGTTTGGAAAAGGTTAAATTTTAAGTTTATTTAAATCTTGCACTAATAGTTTGAAATATGTTAATTAATTGGGTGGTTGGGACCTTCTACACTCATCAGCTATGCCATAAAATATTTTCTCTTCAGTTCTGGGAAATACCTGTTTTGGAAGCCCTTTTTAGGGATTTGTGGGTTAATCTCTGGTCTACAGGAGCATTCTGTAATTAAATAATTACATTAGTGGTTCCAAATCATAGAGTTTTAGAGATCAGACTATTTCTTTAATTTTGGTGATTGTTTAAAGGCTAATTATTAGAAGATTAGCCGAATGACCTGTAGATGTCAAAGACAATGATTTATTTCGTATCTGCCTATGAAATTTAAAGCAGAAGCTAATACTGAGATCATGCCATTGCATTTTGTTTTATTGATTAGAGTTGCAGTCATTACTTAATGACTACCAAGATAAATGAGGGGGGGAAATGCCCCTAGTATTTAAAATAAAAACTAAATACTGTGTGGTTAAATTGAAAACAGCTGGAAAGAATGTAGACTAATGTTACCCTAAATGGGAGACATTAATATCATTAAGAACACTAGTTGGACTTAAATTTAAAAAATTTTATACACTGCAAAATATTCACATTTTGAGATTTATAGGCATGAATCAGAAGTCTATAGTTAAGACATGATAAGCCTGTTGAAAAATATCAATGTATAAATAGTTACACTTTATATACATGGCATAATGATTTAAGAAAGCCCTATGAGGTCACTGTATTCCCAGCAGCCCATGCAGTGCCCAATACATGTGAGGTATGCAAATACTTATTGAATTAATGACTGACACCTATCTTCTGTATACTTCGTTTCCTAAAGAAAAATACTTTTTTCTTATATAGTTATATCAACCCTAGTGGAAATAGTACTATTATTTCTTTTTATAACCAAAGTACTATTATAAGTATAATAGTACTATTATTTCTTTTTATAACCAAAAAGCTGAAGTATTTATATTTGATTTTTGTCTTCAGGAAGTTATTTGATAATATTTTGCATGAAATTTATGAAATGCCCTTGCTTACATGAAATATAAAACTGTGTAACATAAAACACAAAGAAGAGGTTAAAGCCATTTAAAAAAAAATGTAATTGAAATATAGCTGACATACATTATACTAGTTTCAGTTGTACAACATAGTGATTCAACAATTATATACATTATGATATACTTACCATGATAAGTGTAGTTACCATCTGTCACCATACAAAGTTAATACAATATTATTGACTATTTCCTATGCTCTACTTTTCGTCCCTGTGACTTATTTTACAACTGGAAGTTTATACCTCTTAATGGGTAAAGGGGATTAAGAGGTACAAATCCATTTATTTATTCTTCATTCAAATAGAGTTAGCATTTCATGGAAGTACATACTTCATTTCTCAAGCTCTAATCCTCTGAATACATTTTAAAGTGAAATTTCCAACTGGTTGGTGCTAGGATAATAAACACAAGTCAGAAAATTTTAAGAATAATCAGTATAGTCAAATGGTCTACTGAAAATTGGATCTTACAATTTAGTAAAACCTAATTTTAATATAGCTTGAAATTATGTATAGTCATTGATACTTCAAATTGGGGTTCCCTATGAACATAATTACTTATCACTTGTATTATATATAACACCTTTGTTTAATAAGGTAGCAATACCAACAGAACCAAGGTTATAAAAACAGACAAAAAAAAGTGAGCATGATTCAAAAATAATTTTTTGAGGGGCTTTTTTTTTTAAGAGCCCAAATTGAGCTAAATTGTATTACATTCTCTCAAATATTTGTTAGAGTGGCTTTCAATTATCATTATCTAATTATCATTAGAATTATCATTAACTGATTTAGGCTTCTCTGGCTTTTCAATTTCCTATGTGTGACAGATACTACATTTAAATGAGTGTTGTTCACATTCACATACTTTTACAAATAGATGACAATTGAAAAATTGGAATTTTATCTTTGAAATTTCAAATATAAAGCCAAACTAGGGGCTCCTCGGTGGCTCAGTTGGTGAAGCGTCTGCTTTTGGCTCAGGTCATGATCTCAGGGTCCTGCGGTCCACCCCTGTGTTGGGCTCCCTGCTTAGGGGGGAGTCTGCTTCTCCCTCTGCCCTTTCCCCTGCTCATTCTCTCTCTCAAATAAATAAATAACATCTTAAAAAAAAAAATAAAGCCCAACTGAAGAAAATTGAGATAGTGGTTGGCCATGTGGGGAACACCATCATAGTGGCCTTACCTAGATGAGGCCCATGGTGGAGTGTCTCAGACTCATCCTAGAATGCTTGATTTTGTGA